GGCCGGGGGAGCCGGTGCCAGGAGCCTGAGGTGCCGCGAGCCCGGGACGCCCCGGCGTCAGGCACCTGTCAAGCTGCTCCGCTCCCTGGCACCGGGCGGGAAAGGGACAGCTACTAGGCGCTGGCGAGCCCGGATAAGGAACTGCTGCAGAAAACCAAGGTAGGCTGTGTGCGTGCGTGTGCGCTGTGTGTGACCGAGAGGCGGACACAGACGGAGAGAGCGAGAAGCGCATTTGGACACCTGTGTGCATCTGCGCTGACGGTCGTGCCCCCAACCGTGCGAAGAGCGTAGGTCCCGGTGCACGCTTCCCCGGCCTGTGCCTGTTGGCGACGGCTGGGAGACTGCGTGGGAACGAACGCCAGGGGTGTCCTGGAGTAAGTCGGGGGCTGTAGGTGGTGCGTGCCGGGACCGACCTGGCTGCAAGCCTCTGCCTGTGTGCCTGGCGTGTGCCAGTGTCCAGAGGCAGCTACCATTCTCTCCGAGCCACTTGCAAAAGACCCCGGAGCAGGGGGAGTAGGGTCAGAGGAAGGGATGTGTCAGGGGCCACCCCGGGCTCCTGCGGGCGCGCATCTCCGAGATCTGGAGCTCTGAGCCCGGGAGTGGAGAGCGCGCGAGTGGGGGGGGGCACCAAGCGGAGAGAAGAGGGGATTCCCCACCAGACTGGAGGAGTGGCTCGGGGGCCTCACCTCCCGCCTCTGTGCAGGGACAATAGCCTGCCTGGACCGCGAGACGGAAAGGCTGGTCAAACCCCCCCAAGCAACTGGCTTCACCTCCAGCTGGCCCTGGCACCTCAGTCTCACTCTGTTTAGAGGCTGGACGTGCTGGCATCGCAGTCTTCCTGGAAATGGTAGGGAATCCTTCAGGAGACCCTGCTCTGAGAGTCCCCGAGTTGAAGGAGGATCTTCCCAGCTCCCGCTCCGATGTCCAGAGAGGCGCCCCACCACCACCACCTTTGGCCAGCACGGAGGCTTTTCCCTGGCGCTCTAGCACCGCGGTGGCCCACACCGGATTGCTGCCAGTGGGGGCTCCGGCTCCAGCCCCAGCTCTGAGGCCCAGCTGGTTTAGCGGCTGGGCTGGAAGGGAGGCAGGAGTGGGGGTTAAATGGGGAAAGACGCTAGGAACACAACAATCAAGGCTAGGTAGTATCTAGGGCCACCTGGATGTCAGGTCTCGCAGTTCCATCTCTCATTCCTGCTCTGGGATAAAGGAAGGGACCCCTGTAACTCTTCTCTTCCACAGAGCCTGGCCGCCAGCTCAGAGTAAACCAACAACCAGGCCATCCCCAGTAGCTAACAATTCTTAAACTCGAAAAACAAAGAAAGCAGAAAATCAGACCTCCTGGTACATTTAATTTGACCACAATTCAACAAGTATTGACTGCCTGGTATGTGCAATCCACTCCCTGTGGGCGAACATGAAGCACAAGTCTCTCGGCGACCTCAGGCAGATGAGTTTCTTGCTAAATGAGACTCACCAAGGTTTGAGCTTATTTCTTTGTGGAGGAGCTGCTCCCAGCACCAGCTACCACCTCTACTACCTCTGCCAGGGCTCTGAACCCCATCTCTTGCTGCCTCTCAAACATGCTTCTCAGTCTACTTCAGAAAAAGCAAAACAAAACAAACAAACCTGACCCTCATGTACTTTGGTACAGTAAAAAGCACAGTTAGGGCTGGGAAACAACATCTGACCTTTCCTCACACCCCTGCACCACCACCACCACCACCACCACCACCACCACCATCATCATCATCATCATCATCATCATCATCATCCCAAGAGCTCTAGACAGGGTTTCTGTGGCCCGGGGCTCTTCAGGACAACCCAGGCCTCAGAGTGTGACCATTCATGGGACACACATGGGCCTCCAGCAGGACTAAGGGTTAACGTACACTCCAAGTGCAGCCAGCTGAAATAGAATTCTGGATTTGTAGATTTAAATAACAGATCCAGGGATACTAAAAACAGCTTCTTTACAGCCTCTCTGTAATAGCTGTCAGTTTATGCTTTTTTTTTCTTTTAGCCCAATGCAGACATGAAATCCTGGGTCCTCAAGGTACTTTGAAAAATAGATTGGCCACAAAGCCCAGCCTCTGCAGACACTATTCGATGGGGGATAATAGCACAGAAAGAATAAGCAGTGTGCCTGGCAATACAGAACAAATCACAGGCAAAGGTGGGCAGGGATGCTCTTGTACTTGTTGTTGCCTAAATCTCCCTTACCTGCTTTGTCTGTGAGCATTGAGCATTCACTCTCTCATCTACTCGCAGGCACCAGGAAAAGTAACTCCGTGCAGGGGAGAGGTTTCAGCCAGTTTTATTACTCCTACTGTGTGCTGCACACAGCACCCCTTGGCAACTTCCATCTCCTGGACTGACTTCCTGCCCTGTCTTATTGTTTCTCTTCATACACTCAAGGCCCAGCTCCCAAATCCCTCCTGTGCAGCTTCCTCTAACTCCCCAAGGAAGAAAGGAATTCTTACAGCCTTTGTTAATCTCTGTGCCATCCACACCCTCTGTGAGTTGGCTTCCTTGGCTGTCTCCCCTACTAAATTATTACTCCCAAGAGGGCACCAGACATGTCTTTGTGCCCAGCACAAAGAAGCCCATATATTTTGAATGATTGTAAATAAATCACTTAAGTATGGGATGATCCATTGCCTTATATCTCAAGCCAAGCCAATAGTGCTACAGTTATATGCTCGGCAAGCATGGAGGTAACATCAGAGTCAGTTGCTTTCAATCACTTGTTTTCCAGTCTGTTGAGGAGCAGATGCACTGCCATGAAAAGCAGAGGAGATGTAGGGCCAGGTGGCCTGTTCCTTGCTAAATCCCAACTCTGCCAACTATGGGAGCAAGCTCCTTAAAGTCTCTAGGCCTTGACAGCCTCCTCTTTAAAATGGAGATAATGTCCCACTTCTCATGACGATGGGGAAGATGGGAGGGTGTGGGAATGAACTGTCTCAGAGTTTAGAAACTTCTGTACACATTTACAGAGAAGGGGTCCCTCACCTGGTTCCTGTTTTGGTCCTTAAACAGGGAATTGCAGCCAAATCCTCTAGGAGGTTAGAAATACTTTGCAGCAGCACCATGGTTGGGGACTTCAGGAAAGGGCTGTCCTTAGCATGAGGCAGACAAGTATCAGGGACTGGAGAATCAAAAATGGAGCAAACAACATCTACACTAAAGCACACATTTAAAAAAATTATTTTATTTATTTATTTATTTATTTATTTATTTATTTTAGGGCTGGGGATTTAGCTCAGTGGTTCTGGTGCCTGCCTCATAAGCCCAAGTGCCCGAGCTCAATCCCCGGTACAAAAAAAAAAAAAACAATTTTTTTTGAGGCAAGTTCTCATGTAGTTTAGGGTGCCCTTGAACTCACTATGTGGTTCAGGCTGGCCTCAGACTAGTGTCAGTCCTCCTGCCTCAGCCTCCCAAATGCCAGAATTACAGGCCTGAACCACCATGCCTAGCTTCAGACTTTTATTTCTAATACTGAAGACCATAAATTGATTCACAGTGTAGGCAAATTTCAATAAACTGAAGATAATGAGATGGTGGAGGATAAAAGCGGAGGGCTCAACACAAAGCTAGGTGTCTTTCCATACCTTCTGTCATTTAACCTTCACGGCAGCCCCCTTCCGACAAAGGAGCTTCTGAGTGAGGAAGGGCTGAACATGAGGCCACATGGGCTCAGCCGTGGAGACCAGGACTGTTCTAACTCTAAACTTTGGTGTTTTTTCCATTGCAAGGATTGAGAGTGGAACGACTCCCCAGCAGGCAGCCAGTCACATAGATTTCTTCGCAGGGAAAAGACACAGGATACTGGAGTCAGAGCCTCCCACCCCAAGGTCAGGAGCTGAAATTCTCCAACCTCTGCCTTTTGGCGGTTTGCACCAGTCAAACTACTGACAGGTCAAAGTATGTGTTCTTGAGGTCACGGTCATCCCCTACACCTGCGTCACCAAAACTGGTGGCCGAGCCCTGCCCCCACTACAGGAAAGGAGCCCAAACAAGTCTGCGCACAGACAAGGATAGGCTGGCAGCTGAGCTGGTGTGGAAGGATAGCACGTTCTCCAGTTTAAGAGTGTGTCTAAGAGGATAAAGCAGAAACACGGAAAGCTGGTAAAACCTAAAAAGCCTGGGACTGATAGGCCCATCTTCTTTCCTTCCAGATGTCACAGTGGGTCCTTGGCCTCCAGGGCCCACTGCAGTGTGAATAAGATCTCTGTCCAGGCTGGCTGGCTCTCGACTGAGAGGCAGAGCAACCATGGAGCTGGCGTATGAGCAACTCAACGGGAGCCAAGTGTGGTTGGCCTCTCCCTTCGAGCTCAATGGCTCAGTGACAGCGCTCAACAACTCGAACCAGACAGAGCCATACTATGACATGACCAGCAACGCGGTCCTCACGTTCATATATTTTGTGGTCTGCATCATTGGCTTGTGTGGCAACACGCTCGTCATTTATGTCATCCTCCGCTATGCCAAGATGAAGACCATCACCAACATCTACATCCTCAACTTGGCCATCGCAGACGAGCTCTTCATGCTGGGGCTCCCCTTCTTGGCCATGCAGGTGGCACTGGTCCACTGGCCTTTTGGCAAGGCCATCTGCCGGGTGGTCATGACTGTGGATGGCATCAATCAGTTCACCAGCATTTTCTGCTTGACAGTCATGAGCATTGACCGTTACCTGGCTGTGGTCCACCCCATCAAGTCTGCCAAGTGGAGGAGACCCAGGACAGCCAAGATGATCAACGTGGCTGTGTGGGGAGTCTCTCTGCTGGTCATCTTGCCTATCATGATATATGCTGGGCTTCGGAGCAACCAGTGGGGGCGAAGCAGCTGCACCATCAACTGGCCAGGTGAATCTGGGGCATGGTACACAGGGTTCATCATCTACGCTTTCATCCTAGGGTTCCTGGTGCCCCTCACCATCATTTGTCTTTGCTACCTGTTCATTATCATCAAGGTCAAGTCCTCCGGAATCCGAGTGGGTTCCTCCAAGAGGAAAAAATCTGAGAAGAAGGTCACTCGAATGGTGTCCATTGTGGTGGCTGTCTTCATTTTCTGCTGGCTCCCCTTCTATGTCTTCAATGTCTCCTCTGTGTCTGTGGTCATCAATCCCACCCCAGCCCTTAAAGGCATGTTTGACTTTGTGGTGGTCCTCACCTATGCTAACAGCTGCGCCAACCCCATCCTCTATGCCTTCTTATCTGACAACTTCAAGAAGAGCTTCCAGAACGTGCTGTGCTTGGTCAAGGTGAGTGGCACAGATGATGGGGAACGGAGTGACAGTAAGCAGGATAAATCCCGGCTGAATGAGACCACAGAGACCCAGAGGACTCTCCTCAATGGAGACCTCCAAACCAGCATCTGAACTGCTAGGGGGAAACAAAAGCAAAGAGAAAGCAAGCCCTGCGTCTTGGCAATGGGCTCTATCCTCACACTCCCTTCCTCTCACCCATCACCGCAGCTTCTAGAATAAAGGATTGCTCAGCATGAGCCCATTCAGAGACCGGGGTTGGAGCTGGCCTGATTGAATGATAGTGTCTCACATTGATTACCTCCCCCTGAAGGTGACATTTAAACGTAGGCAGACAAGTCAAACTCTGGAGAGGAGGAGATTATGCCTGGGTGTGACCTTGAGAAACGCTGAAGCTCAACAAAAATAGAAAAAAAAACAAAACTACCTATGTGTTTGTGTGCTTAAAAGCTACTATGTAATCTTGTGTTCCGCTATTTATACTTGTATTACTCCTATCTATTCTTTGTACAGTCATTACCTACATTTTCTTAGTTTATGGATGCGAGTAGTAAAGTCAACTGTGTATAGTACACATGGACATTTACCAAAATATGGAACTAAAGAAATGGACTTAACATGAAGCCAACAAAGTTTAAGCTTCAGGGCTCTCTCTAGCAGTGTGGTCATATGGTCATGATTTTGTTTAAAAAAAAAAAACAAAAACAAAAACAAACCTGTGAAAATAAGGTATTTTTGTATCCTCTGTCTTAGGAGGGCCCCCTAAACTGTATAGACTTCCAGCCTCACAAAATCTGCCCCCGACCTAGGGTATTCGCTTCATTAAGTTCAGGAAAGTTAGGTCAAAATAAAGAGGAGATGGGAAAAGATATTTGAAGACCCAAAATATAAATTCATGAGTTTCCTCTTCTCAAATGCAGTTATTCATTTACCCTAAACGACTTAAGTGGCTGTAGTCATCCATCACTGTATTTACCAAGACAAAACTGGCTTTGTTATAAGACTACTTTTTTTCTTCTCAAACTGGTTTAATCTTTCTTAGGAAGCCATTGAGAAGAAAAATTGCTAACATGAAAGGCAAAAAAAAAAAAAAAAAAAAAAAAAAAAAAAAAAAGAAAAAAAAAAAAAAAAAAAAAAAGGATTGTGATTCTTGTGGGGAAACAATTTTCTCTCCTCACCATGAAAATAAATGAGTAAGAATGAAGCAAAATTATACCTTTATGAGAAACTATTAAAAATTTTTTTTCTTTTAATGCTGGACATGACTTTCTAAAGAAAGAAAATGGAAATGTAATTCAACAACACCACAAAGAGTTTTTTAAAGGACTTTTCACAAAACTAGGCAGTAAGAAAATCAGAATGCATATTAAAGAGGGCTGGGGATTTGGCTCAGTGGTTCTGTGTGCAAATGCAAGGTCCTGAGTTCAATCCCTGGTACAAAAAAAAAAAATCATCCCATCCCCAACGCAATGCATATTAAAGACCTGAGGACATTGTTCATAAAACAAAAACACACGTCAGCCAATAGATATTCAGCATGAAGGGGAGGTGGGGGTGCTTGTGTTGAAAGGAGCCCCATCCTTCATGGGTATTGCTATGCTACCTTCTTCACTGACTGTATACTCATTAGGCGTCATATTTAATGCCATGAACTCTCTGAGCTATTCCCCCAAGGACTTTTGTTCCCCAAACTGTAGACAGGTTTATGTACAAGTGATAAGAAGGGACAATGCCTATTTCATGGGCTGATCACAGTTTCCAGGCTATAAAGAAATATACACCCAGTATTTGCAAGGTGCCACCCTGTCTCTTTTATGGAAGAAAGTATGACTGTTAACATCTTGTACGTAGATTTTACCGTATTTTTAAGTGAGCTTTCCTCTTCTGTCTCCCTAAGCCAGGCCTGTTTGAAGGTCAGAATGACTAATTGTCCCATCTGTGGCTTCCTTAATGCGCTGCTTTTATTCCCTCTGCCTATATCTTTCACCTCATTCCCCAAAGTACTTACTGTGATTTAAAAAATATGTTCCATAAGATTTATGATAGAAAAATAAATTCATGCAAAAATAAAAAGAGGTGCAATTATGAAACAAGGCCATAGGGAAAGTTGTTACCAAAAAAATCGCATGGGGTAAAATTCCACACTGTAGGGACAGGGGGCACTATAGGTAGGGAAAAGATAGGATGAAGGCCTCATTGAGCTTTATTAAAAATTAATAAGGCAGTTTTGACCTCTGCAGCCAGACTAGCAATTAGAAAGGCAAAGGCAGCTAGACTCTGAGGAATTAGACAAACTTCCTAGGTAGCATGATTAACACAAGAATCACAAACTTCCCCTTCACTAAATCCTTTAGCCTAAACTGCTTGTCCATAAGGTCCCCACCCATAATCTTGCCCTCCACCAAAGGGTAGGCAAAGGTCTCAGGGCTGGAGGAAATCCAAGGTTGGGCTGAAAGACAAGCCAGAGAGCCAATCAGATTCCAAGAGCCTGGTGGGACAAAGAGCTCAATAAAAAGAGCTGCAGACAAGCAATTCACTTTCGAATTCTCCCTACTCATTTTGAGCATCTCTCTGTCATCTTTCTTTTCCGCCTTTCCCATCTTCAAGTAAACTGTCATCTTTTATTTTACACTGCTTGTTTGATTCTTTACCGACACTGGGTTTAGGATCGCCGGGAGCTGTGTTCCAGCAGAGCAGTGGCTTGCAGTCCACCTCTGGACGTTGCAGTGTGGAATAGCACGGCATGGTGCACAACCCTCCCTAGATGCTACAACACCATTACTAAAGGCAAAGTCAGCTACAGGCTCAGCTCAGGGCTTGCCCCCTGGCAGTTGTATCGAATGGAAAGTGATGTAAAAATAAAAACAAGCAAAGAAAGAAACACTATAAACCCAGTTTTACCATTGTTGTAATATGAGGTGTCCCAGGGTCTTTGAATAGTGCTGGAGGTTTTTTTGTTTGTTTGTTTGTTTGTTTTTACTTCGGGAAATAATTCTAGGAGACCAAAATTGGTAGAAACAATTTCAAGGCAGTTAAGAATAATCCTATAGTATCCATGTTCTGGAGACCAGAGAAACTACGCCCAAAGCATTGACAACATCAAAATCAAATTCATAGCCATGATCTGGAGTTATCATCCATCAACGGACTGATTATTTGCAGGCAAAAAAAAAAGGACCTTTAAGATCAATGTTATAATCCCACCCAAACAAGCTGTGAATACAAATAGCATTTCCACTATCCAGAGATGTATTTTTTATTTTTTGAAATATCTATTTCAAGGATGACTTGCTCTCTGGTTTTCTTTTACCCAGAAGAGAGAATAAAGCTTTTAATGTAAATGCTATTGCAATTTTAATTCAAAATTTTAGTCTTAGCTTCAGCTCATTATGACAATAAATCTGCTGCATGTTAAGAGAAGAAAAGGTAATGCATCCTGTTGATTTTAGGGTATCACTACCATTAACATAGGTAGTTAAGAGCTGATTAAATCTCTGTGGATTTAGCGAAAAAGGTTTTGGGAAAGATATTATGACAACATGGCCCGAATTAAATGTTAGTTTGTGTTTCAGTAACACAGCATTGAGTAACATTGGAGTTGGAGTTGAAGCTTCGATGAGGTTCATACCATAGCCTGGAACAATTTCAGGTACAAAGACAGGAGATGGAGAAATGGCATGCAAAGAGAAAAATGTGGGCTGGTGGATGGGATTTCCAGAGCTGGCTACGAACTGGAGCCTATTTGCTTATACAATCTAATCTCTTGTCCATGAAGGAACACGGGTATTGCTTGCCAAAGCTTGCAGCCCCAGCTGCCCTGGACAGGAGAGTCATGGTAGAAAAGTGTACAGTCTGACCGTTGGGGATGGGTAGGAAGAAAAGGGCTGTGGCAGTACATGCTCCCAATGAGCTCCAACAGTGACGATTCAGTGAAGACTGAAGTTACAGAGGCAGGAAGACAGGTGCTTGGACCTGGCTGAAGAAAGGTGACTAATGTCAAAAGGTTCCATATATGGTCAGGAAAGCCTGCTTAATGTTTCTGAAGTGTGAATTATCGTAAGAGTCACAATAGCTTATAAGCAGTTGTGCTTCTAAGAGATGGCTTATAATCAATCACTTGTCTCATCCACATTTTTGCTAGGTTCAAAAACATTAAATTTCCCATCAAACATTCTATCAAAGCAAACCTTTACCTGAGTGCTTGTTTTGCTTCTAATATGTGTTTCCAGAAACACTCTCTTTTATGACTAATTTTTTCTATTGGCTCGTGTAAAAGTGGGCACTGGGACTGTGTTCTACTCACAGCGGAAAATCTTCTGTAGCTGCCATTACTGATTCAGTGACCAATCAGCCTGGGAATAACATCTCAAGGACAAGCTTTCACACCTGCCACCCTCACTGCCACTTTCTAGGCCTGCGTAGCCCTTCCTCTACTTGGCAGTGGCTAAGCACTGGCAAATATCTATTTGTTCTCCCATAGATGTCTCTGGTTGTATCTCTCTGGACTGTACTTAAAAACAGGGCTAAATATTAACCAAGACCTAACCAAGCCAACTATAAAGCATTATTGATTCTCCTAAGATGAGAAGTACATGTAATGTCATTAGAATGAAATGCTGTGGCCAGATCGCCCAGCACACTGAACGCCTGCCTCCTGTTGGGCACAGATTTTAAGCATGAGGGAGCTGAGGGCAGAGATTCAGCTTCAGGAGGCAGAGAAGCAGGAGGTGATGGGCAGGAAGGGACAGGCTTCATTTCCCATCGTTTTCCTGGCATTATCAAAGGGATGGACCAGGGGTGGAAAGGGCCTCTTGCCTTGGATATGGGTGTCTGGAAGCAGAAAAGGGATGTCCTGATTAGAGATATCATTGCCCGGTCTCTTCAGAAAAGCCCATGAGAGACGCAATATGAGGCCCACTTACAAAGAAATCTGAACTGTCATCCCACGGCCTTTCTGCCCCAACTATTTGGTGATAGGAGCCTCTAGCTATTTAAGGATAAAGGATCTTTTGCAGTAGAAGTCACTGAAGAAAAGGAGGCCTGGATGAACTCAGCCCCAGAGGCTGCCGGGTCTAGCAAAGAAGACTGCTTAAGCCCTGGATGCAGCATCTTCAAAAAGCAGTGTGGACTGAGGATATGGGTCAGTAGTTCCGGCCCCCAAAACAACAGCTTGCAAAGTGGCAAGCACAGGGGCCCTGGAGGAAAACTACTGGTCTCAAGGGAGAAAGACCCACAATCAGCTCTTGGACGGTGGCTAGCAGTCCCCTCACCAGGTACCAGGTACTGCAGTGCCATTTCTGCGGTAGCAAACTCCCCTCCTGGGTAGTGCTTCCTCTGTCTCTCAGGCTCCTGTTCCCAGATGAGAGAGAATGTTCATTGGTGGCTGAGTGGATTGTTTTCTTCTTTTTAAAGAAGAATCCCCAAAGGCCCTCAAACCACAAAACCTTTAATGTTAGCCAGCAGCCTCTCCCTTCTCAGGAGGAAAGAAATGTTCTAAGGCTCTCAAGTGCTCCTCTGTTTGTGGTTTCACTCCAGCTTTTGCTCCTGGACACGCTCGTGTGCCTGCGCACATGTGATGCTGGGGACACAGGATACACATGCAAATGCAGGGCACCCTCGTGTGTGCATGTGTTGTGCATGCCCAGACCTGTGAGGCTCAGGTGTGACGCTCGCTCAGAGGAGGCGTGTGGGACTCATGAGATCCTCCAATAGCTTTCTGAGGAAGGACAGAACCACAATCTGGTTAACTCGCTGTTATTCATTTTTTGAAATTCATTTTTTTGTAGGCCAACGCCCCCACGGGGACAATGATGTACCATATCAGTGACTTGTTCACCCAGAAGATCCTGTACTCTGTCACAGACTGCAGGGCTAGCCCTCATCAGCTGTCCTGGATACAGCAGGCCACCTCAACTAAAACAATTAAAAATCAAGAGTGGGCCAAAGGGTGTGAGTGGCGGACAACAGATCATCCAACTAGTCAAACAACTGAAAGCACCACTCACAGCAATGGTTTTGCAAATAAGAATCACTGAAATTAATTCTTAAATTTATCCTCATCAAGGACAGCATCTTAATAGA